TTGTAGTTCATGTTGTGTGTTAATGTTGCAACTGGAACGGCCCGTTCTCCAAGCAGAACGGGCCGTTCTGCTTGCATGCATAGTCTGTTAATTTTGAAACTGGAACGTCCAAGCAGAACGGCCCGTTTTGATCCATTCGTCATTGTGTATTTTTGCATCTGGAACGACCCATTCTAAAAGGAGAACGGACCGTTCTGCAAGTGCTGCATGGAAAACGGGCCGTTCTGGATCCAGTTTTACACCATGCTCAGATCCAAAACGCAAAAAAAAAATTAAAAAATTCTATTTTAGTGAAAAATTCTCACTGCGATTGATATCAATACTCTTTTCATTTTTTTTTCAATTTTATTTTAATTTAAATTTTTTAAAATTGTAATATTAAATAATTTTACACGTAAACAATTAAATGATATATAATTAATGTTTATTTAGCATAAAATTCACATCATTAACTTCTATTAAATTTTAGATGGTAAATTGTTTGTGGGACTAAAATTGCCCATTATTTAAATTTATAGACCAAAATTAAGCAATTCAAATTATGAGGACCAAAATTACTCCTACACTAAATTAGGAGGACCAAAAGTACAATTAAGTCAAATAAATAAATAGATAGATACATGCCTTCTGCCTCACGGTAATTAAGGGGGGTGTATTGGTTTAGGATTTCGTAGGATTTTAAAAGACTTTTTTTGAGTAAAAAAGTCCATTGGTATTCAATCAGGATTTTATGTCACTTAAAAACAATCCAGTGGTATTCAATCTGGATTTTGAAGATTTTTTAAAGAGTTCATTAAAATCCACTGGTATTCATTTGAGATTTTTTACAACTTAAAAATAATCCATTGGTATTAAAAAAATATAAGGATTTTAAAGGATTGTTGTGTGAAAGAGATTTTGAAGGACTTTCTAGTGTTATCTATAAATACCAGATTCATAAAACAATCCCATCCAAACCCATCGAATTTTGAAGGATTGTTTGAAGTGATTTTTCAAGTGTTTCAAGAATTTTCAAGTGAGTTTTTCATCTTTTTTTTTTCTATGCTCCTGTCTTCTCAGTTTTTTCTATACTAATAATACTACACTATTATTCATTGCTCATATATAATATTGTAGTACTGTTCTCATCTAATTCCCCTATTTTGTGAAACTTTGGTATGTAAATGATAGTGTCATTGACTTGCTCTATTTTTCTATTCGTTCTCTTTAATTGACTTGCTTTATTTTATTCTATGTAGTTGAATTTGTTCCTTTATATAACACAAAAAAATACTTGAAATTTCAAATTTTAAGTGGTAATTTTTTTATAGCACACGTCAAGAAAAGAAAAAGGTGAAAGATGAAATTGATATCATAATCTCTACAATATATATATTTCTGGTATACCTAAAAGTCCCACATCGCTTAGGAGTCGATGCTAAGGGTAGTTTATAAACACC